GTAAACCAACTTATCAAGAAGAACTATCTTGAATAAAAAATCTGGAAATTATGCTCTATATTAAATTATTGAGCAAGTTACCTCGCAAACACCAGGTTGCGGGTCAATAATAATTGCACATGTAACCATCTCATAGATGCATCTTATGTGGTATACATGGTAGGTGAGTGGGTCCATATTCACCTTTGATATTTCTAGCATTCACGGGATTCAATCCCAATTTTAATTGGTCTATTAATTAATGAGAACAAGCAATGTAAGAGAATTCGTAAAGAACTTTCTAGTTCTTTAATATTTACCCATGTGAATTCTCTTTTATTTTTTTGCACATCATACTTGAACTAACATGGCTAAACCAATTATGCCAACCGGATAAATTATCAATATTGATAAACTTCAGGTTTACACCATGATGTGTGCAATTATGAATAAACCCCAAGTTTATTATGATATGGGTTTTTATATCAATAAATATCCACTTCGTTGTGGTATTCTTTTGTTTATGTAGTACAAATTGGAGAATAAAGCGGGTAGCTTTTCACATATATATTACCCCGCTACAAGTTGTAGTAATAGAAGATATTAAATCTTTCCTTTATTTATAGTCTCAATATAATCAACCGCTTTCGCGTATACTTTGGAAACTGAATAAGTTTCTTTGAGACTTACTACAACAGAATACCTTATTGGTAATCAATTGTGTTTCTCCAAAATAGTAATAGTTGGCTCTTCCAGAGCTCTCAATTAAGGTACTACCACATATTCATCAACATCCATATGGTGAATATCTCTTTTAAAGAGAAAGTTATACCATTATGGTTATGGTCAAAATTATATGCAAGATCTGTTTCTTGCATTACCGTTGTCTTTTAATAATCACAATGCCAAAATATTTTGGCGTACAATAGGTACGTGACCAACGACCATTCATGCCATAATAATGACATTATTTTCTTATATCATCCCAAACCTCCTTTTAGAGGTGAGTGCGGTATATTCACTACCACTAGCACGTTCATATTCTTTGAAGAATGAATATGTATTCATAAATCAGATGTTGTCACATTCACATCATGAATGGACCATAATCATCTATATGTGCTTTATAAAATCTCATGTCAAATCGATGACAAATATTTTTCACAGAGTGAAAGATTATTTTGAGAATCCTTATTGTTCTCATTACCACAAATGATGACGATTATAATTTCGTCTATTGCCACGTCCATATCCACTGATACATTTATAGTAATAATTTTGTCTTCTTTCATACTTATCACATACTGCTATCACATTCTCTTAAGGGAATAAGAATGGAGCAAATTCAATGGGAAGGGTTTTCAATTCTTTGCCCACAATTATACATGAATTTGATCATGGCGAGGCATAGAAATTTTACCAATCAGGTGGTTATAATTTCTTACAAACTCCATTAGAGTTATAATCAAACTTTGTTGTCTTTGCTTGTATTTAAAATCAAAGTATAGAATAAAAGAGAAAAATACGGTAAAATACTTACCGTAAATCTAGAATTTAATCATGAAGGAAGTTCATGGAATAATTGACAATCATTATGCTCAATCCCAAAGCTTCTACTCAATTGGTTAGAGTCTCGTGCTGATAACGTGTTATGAAACAATAAAAGAAGAAGAAGAGTATTGCAGAGAAAAGTAGAGAGAGAGAGAGAATTCTTATTGAATTGTGGGATGAATTACAATGAAATAGAAGCCTCTATTTATAGGGAGAGAGTGACTTAGCCACCAAGTAATAAACCCTAGAATCTCTCTAAATATAGACATTCACCATAAATAAAATTCTATTTATAACAAAAATAAACTATTTATATCATTCTTCTTGGGTGCGTCACTTTCGAACCTTACATGAACGCCGAATACCTTGTGCACCTAGCTGCCCAAGTAATCAAAATTTGTATAAATGTCACATATTTTACATTTTCTACGAGCTTTTATCCGGTAGAAATTTGTGTATATCTCAACGTAATTAATGGGAGGTTAAAATTACTTTTAGTCAAAGATAGACTGACGTGGTAGTACTTAAGCAATTTGACTGACTAAATTAACGGAACCGTCCGGTCCGGTATCACGTGACCTGAATCACAGTTTTCAAGACTCACAAGTCCCGCCCATTGCTGAGTCAGCCCGTCCATAACCCCCTTTTCGCCCCCTTATCGATACCGTTAATTCACGCCGTTAGTGGGACCTTCATCCACGTGTCACAATCAACCGCTTCCAAAAATGCGGCGGCTTGTAAAATATCTTCATATTACTATTAGAACCTACGTTAATTTCATTTAACTCCGGATTAGTTATAATTAATCCTGTTTAAACATTTTTAAATTAATCTCACTTGAAAAATAAAAAAAGAGTTTTACTATTTCGACTAGCGGATCCTATATAACTGGATTTCCAGTTGTTTCGGTCTCCACTGAAACTAAACTTCCTACTTCACACTTCCTCTATTATCTCTAAAAAGCTAAACACTCAGTTCAAAATCATACTCTCTTTTTCAACTTTCCCCGAGATTTTCACAAGAAAATCGACCTGAAAATAGCTACAGAATCCTAGTTTCCTCAGAACTTTTACTCCATATAGCAAGTGATTGATTCTGTCTCTGTTTCTTCTGAAACTTTTCTGTGTATTTCCTCTTTTTTACTCCTCAGTACACCTTCTGTGTTTATTGCAGCACTGACGTAGCCCATTTTTTTTTCACTGTACTGTCTACTCTTTTGCTCTTTGGACCTCTTAGAGAGTATAAATTCTGATATTTTTTCTATTTTTTTTGCTACTTTTTCTTAACTTTCTGTGCTTAAAACGGGAGGTTTCCAACACAATCAGTTTTTGAAGATTTTTGTTTTTTCACTTTTCATACCCCAAACTGTTACTAATACAAAGCTTGTGCTTTTAAAAGAGTCCCCCCCTTCTCTTCTTTAAGTCTTTATTCCAAGAATCTTTTTCCCTTTTTTCAAATGCGAATCTGAGAAAAATCACTCATAAAAATGGACCAACAAACCATGTTGTCTAGTAGAGTTAAGTATACTGAACACAGAAAGCAAACCACTATGATTAAACCTTCAGCTCCGGCGATTGTTACCGGCCGGAGAAAGTGTCCGGAGATGAATGCTGCCACCGGTGGACCTAGAGTTGTACGTATTACTGTCACTGATGCTGACGCTACCGACTCTTCCAGTGATGAAGGTGAGGGTCTCTACGGCCGTCACAGAGTGAAAAAATTTGTTAACGAAGTGAGGATAGAGCCTTGTATGGGAGAAACCGTTAAAAGTAACGGTAACGGAAGTGTTAGTGGGGTTTTGAGAAATGGGTCGTCGGAAAGTGCTGTCGCGCCAAAGAGGCGGAAGAAGAACGCCGGAGCTACAAAGGCGGAGGCCACGGCGGCAAGAGGGTTAAAAGCGAACAATGTTAAAAAGTTTCGCGGCGTTCGGCAACGGCCATGGGGTAAATGGGCGGCAGAGATCAGAGATCCACTGCGACGTGTACGGCTCTGGTTAGGTACTTATGATACTGCTGAAGAAGCTGCTATGGTTTATGACCACGCGGCTATTCAACTACGTGGACCAGACGCGCTCACTAACTTCGCCATTCCTCCTCCGGCGAAGACTACGAGCTGCTCCTCCGGCTATAACTCCGGCGAGGAGTCACACAACGACCAACGGTCACCGAAGTCCGTTCTCCGTTGTGCTTCCACTTCTTTTGAAGAGTCTCAGAATAACGAAGAAGCTGAAGCTGAGTCAATACCGAGTTTGCCCTCCGAGTCCGCTCAGAAGAACTCGGATTTCAGGGACGAAAATGACATTTCAAACTTCTGCGAGTTTCCACCGTTTGAGAGTTTGTTTCCCGATGATTTGTTCCTGTTTGAGAATCCGGTTCCCATACCCGACTTGTTTGAACCAGCAGCTTTACCCGACAACATTTTCGGAGAAACTTGCAGTGACATATTTATCGGGTCAAGTAATGATTTCGGATTCGGGTCATCATCCTGGCCCGAAGATGATTACTTTCAAGATATCGGAGATATATTCGGGTCTGACCCGCTTGTTGCTCTATGAAGTTCAAACAAATAGTTGCAGAGCCTACTAATTCTCGGCGTTGGGTTCACTATTTTCATCGGCAGTTAAATTAAATCTCGTTTTTTAATTTTCTTTTTTTTTTTAGCTCATCAGTTTTGTCTAAATTTGTTAATTAATGTTAGTTTTATATGAGTGATTAGTGAGTAATTTAGTACTAAGTATGTAACAACTCCGTCACATTAACGGTGATGGACGAGATTTTGCGGTACAGTGTTGTTTTTGTGCTTCGTGCTCTACCACCTTTCTTTTTATTTTTTCTTGTTTATTGCCGTAGAAATGTTAAGTTGATAATAATAAACCACTTGACAAATTATTGTAGGACATTTTAATGCTAATTTATGGTTGATTTAAATTTAACTATCTTCAATAAATGACCAATAAGTTAGTGCAACATTGAAGAATTCTGTCTGGTGAGCAGGAGCTGAAGGGTAGTTGGGGGTGGGGGTGGGGGTTGGGGTGGGGTGGGGTGGGGTGGCGGGGTTGTCTGATAAAGGCACGTGCAAGAACACGTGACTTGAGAAGCAATAGGAATTAGGTGAAAGAATGAAATGGCATGAATGCTTTAGCCTGCATTTACACATGCTTAACCTGAACACATTCTCAATGCTTCATTTTTAGTTGTGTATCACTTGGATTTTATTTTTACACGTATTATCGGTGCATTTTAACTTGCGATATCATATTAGTCTTTATAACTTCTATCTTTCAACTAACTTGATAGTATAATACTTTATAGTGTTAGTGTAAAATATTACTCCATCCGTTTCAATTTATGTGAGCCTATTTAACTGGACACGGAGTGTAAAAAAAAATAAGGACTTTTAGAATTTGTGGTCCTAAACAAGTCAAAAAGGGGGCCAGAGTATTGTGTCTCATTAAGGGTAAAATTGTAAGTTTAAGCTAAATTGTTACCAAATATAGAAAGGGGGCATTCTTTTTGGAACGGACCAAAAAGAAAATAGGTTCACATAAACTAGACCAGAGGGAGTAGTAATATTTTTCTCGAAAACATGGAGTTATACCAATTGTCAGTGCAAAATTTCTTTTGCTAAACGATTCTTTGTAACGGGTTCTCTATTAAAGTACCACCTGTACTATTCGTGGAATGTGAAATTGAGAAATCAGTAAAAAGAGAGCAATTAAAGAATGCTCTTTTGCTTGTATTTAATCTTTCCCGAATAGAAATCATATAGAATTTTCTTATAAAATGAGCAAATTTCTTGTGGATTGGTTTATTAATAGTCATAGTTTTTTTGACTGTTTCCACGTTACGATTAATGTGCTAATACGACACAAATAATAAATGTACAAACTTTATATTTAATTATGGCTCCAACACGAAAGAAAAAAGGTGTATAGTGAGTGAGTTGAGTAGGATAATAATTTTGGTACCACCACAATATGGTGAGGACGATAAGAGGGCATTGGTTTTGGTTTTTCCACGTTTCATTACTTTGCTCATCCAAATCCAAGATTCACAAAGCATTTGTACTTGATACTTTCTCTTTCTCGTTAGCCAACTAATTTTGATTCTTTTTTTCTAAATTAGAAGTGTTTTTAACTTCTCACTTCCCTTTTGGAAAATTGGAGGGAAAGATGGTCAAAGACTGCTCTAGGGTTTAATTTACCACTTGTTTTAAATGGACATTGAACTCGTATTCATTTTATGAAAATATGGTTGTTTTTCTAATAAAAGAAAAAATATATACATAGAGCTCAAGTTGATGGGTAATTAAGTGTGTCAGCAATCGCTGCTATACATCCGCCCACTGAAATAAGCTCGTGTAAAAAGGGAGGGATAATTTTTGTGATTGAAGGGGTAACATTCGAGCAACGTTAAAGTTATCCTTAGGTACGACCCTTCGCCAAATCTTGCGTGCATGCGAGATGATTCGTGCAACGGACTGCCCTTTTTAAATTCTAAACTTACAATTGTAAGACGGGTTTGCAGATACTTTTTGTTATTATAAGTTTCTTTCTTCACATTCTAGATATTTGTATTGATTTTTACGGTATTATCTGATATTTTTTTTTTATATCTTTTTTGTGCAATTAAGACAAGCTTTCAGAATTTCACTTAATCATCTTAAGCAAATTGCTAGAAAGCGCGACAAATAGGTTACATGTGTACAATAGATTATTAATTGTAACATAGCTTTTAGCATCTACAATTAATGGGTTTTAGCACTATGCTTATAGATATATAAATATGTGATTATACTAGTAGTTCGCACGAAGTTAAAAGCCTCTTTCCAGAACATCCTTTTATAATTAAAGCATTTAAAATTAAAACTACGTACACGTTTGAGCTGCAAAAGGACTTACATTAATATAGCTATATTGAATACCATATAATAATAGTGCATCTATTTAATTTTATTAGTGTGCGCCTTCATTTGAACGCCATATAATAGTGCAGCTTTAATTAGTGTAAAAAACTAAACACTTTTACACATAAAATTTACGTTGAACTCAATATGTGACTCTAAACCTAGTAAACGTATTCTCTAGATCCAAATTTAGTAAATTTATAGCTCTTTCATTTCACCGCTTCCTCTAACTTTAAGAGTCAAACCGTGCTTTGGTTTAATTCATTCTTAAAAATAATATAGAGGAAAAAAACTAATACTCCATTTATAGTAAAAATTTCTGGGATATAGGAAAATGAGGCAATAATTGTAGGGTTGACGACATGTTTGTTTGGAACAGAGAGATCTCCATTTAAATCATCGAAAATAAGGTGGCGTGGATTTTTATTTTTTATTTTTCTCCAGGTGATGATTTATTGGGACCCTTTTCTCGTGCCAATGTCCTTTTCCCCAAATTAGCAATATTTAGTTATTTACAAACGGTTGATTCACCCAAGAACCCGTGGCAGCTATCTTGTGGTTTTCTGTTTCAATTTGATCTTGTTATGATGATTTTTTTCCAGTCAGGACTAACAAATTTTGCCAACCGTTAGGATTCAATTCAACAACAGAAGGCGAAAAGGATATACTTGTATTTTTAGTTTCTTAAGTGAAAAATGGTCGTCCGTTGCACGAAACTTTTCGCATTCATGTAGGGTTTAGGGAGTCATAGCAGCCCAAGAGAGTGTAATGTTGCTAGCATAGCCTGGTACAAGCATCAATAGGTCACACAGAAATAACTTTATCGTTGCTACATGCAGTGGCGGAGCCAGGATCTTGACGAAGGGGGTTCAAAAAATTTTTTTGTAGCTATTGGATATTGAACCCATGACCTTATGCAAATTTTAAACACCCTTGACCACTAAACTACACTTTTGGATTGTGTTAAGGGTGTTCAAAACTTAATATATAGAGGTAAAAAACAGATTTTGCCTTATATATACAATGTAATTTTTCGGCGAAGGGTGTTCGGGTGAACACCCTTGCGCCCCCCTAAATCCGCCCCTGGCTACATGCCTTCCCTTCTATATAATCTTCGGTAGTGAATTTGGATACTAGAATCACACCCGATAAACAGTGGCATAGCGCATTGAAAGCTAGATTTCAATTGAATCTCCTTTGTCGAATATTATAATATACAAATATAATTCGAACAAATTTTTTCTGCATTATAAGTTGTTGAATCTTCTTGATAGGTTAATGCATTTATTCATTGATTTATCGCACCAATAGTCATACCTTAAATTGACCAAATATTCAAGAAGTGAAAAAATAATTTCCTAAAAATGATTTAAATACATCGGTGAGCTCATTTTGATCTTGAATTTGCGTTGTTTGGACTGATCTCTAAAAATGTTGTTGCACATGTTACAGAGATCCCCCTCAATGCATTACTTTTGAAAGATCGAATAGGTTTAAGAGCGCGAGCAACATAGTCTTGAACGCAATATATCACAAATATGAAGTACCACTCACGAGCGTTATTGTACGTCTGCATGCAGTTTGGTAAGGCATCTCCTTTTTGTGCCAACATGCCATTTAGACATAGAAGAGAGATGTAAGATGATTATTCCTTCTTCTCCTTTGTATTCATAAACTATTCCTTTGTCAAAATATCAATGAAGAAGAGAGATATAACATGATTATTCTATCTACTCCTTTCGCGATTCTCAACATGGCTTCTTCATTATTGTTTTTCGATATGACTTTTTTTCAATCCTGCTTAAAAATACTTTTCTTGAGCTGAAGGTCTATTGGAAACATCCTCTTTACCTACACAAAATAGAGGTACGGTCTACGTACACATTATCCTCCCGACCCCGGTCGTACTCCTTTTCGCGATTCCCTTTGTACTTGTTTTCTTTTCCCTGTTGGCTAGTGGGCCGGGATAAAAATAGTGATAAAAAGAGAGTTACAAGAATTTCGAAGACAGTTAAGCTGTTTTGTAATATCAATATCAAACTCAACATATGGTAAGTGGTCCTATAATGAGCTGTGATTGATCAGAGATGACAAAAATTTGGAAAAGGCAACTAGCCCCTCTATATAGCACTGCAACACTTCTGCATCACAAAATCTTAGCTTTATTTTACAGAAGAATTAACATACTGCCCACATATTTCAGACAAAATCCAAGAATTTCATTAATTACATATTTTGGCTTTGTTTTTCTCAGTGCCAATGTAATCTTCTCATGACCAACAAATTGACAGCAAATCCAGCTTTTCTATTTTCGACCCTTTAAAAGAACCTAACAGAACAAAAATGTCCCATTCATTTTCTCCTGATTTCTGCCTGATTTACTGCATGCAATAAGCTAGAGTTTTCAGCCTTTTCAGATCATTATCTTTGTTAAAAAAATAAAAATAAATGCAGTTAAGTGCACTAGGCTTCCGCTACGCACGGGGTCCGGGGAAGGACCGGAAGAGTCTATTTTACGCAGTCTTACCCTACATTTCAGCAAGAGGTTGTTTCCACTGTTCGAACCCGTGACCTCCCGGTCACATGGCAATAACTTTACCAGTTAGACAGCAACTTTACCGTGAACTTGTATTTTTTTTAATTTTTTTCAAAAAGGGGAACTCCGTCAGTGAGGATAGCTGCTTAGTGATGAGCATCTCGATCACCTTCAACCTACTTGTTAGGGGTCCAATTCAAGTTGGGAGTAAATAGGAATAGTTTTTAACAGAATACATCATTTCTTGCTACGACGATCGTAAGGAGTTATGAATACGAACATCAGACATGGGATATTTCACTCGTAAACTTACTGAAGTAGCTCGACATTATATTATTGTAACACTGCCCGAGGTATTTTTGTGAGTCCT